TTAAATAATCAAAATTATAAAACTGAAATTTTGAAAACTGATAAAATTGTGTGTGTGTGTGTGTGTGTACATGTTGTTTTCTATGCCGGTGGGGAATTAAACCTGAATACACACTGACTCATAGGGACTCTTGTCACTGTGGGGACCTAAATTGAGGTCCCCATGGGGAAACAAGCTTATAAATCATACAGAATGACATTGTTTTTTTTCTTTTTTTTTTGAGAATATAAAAATGCAGAAAGTTTTCTGTGAGGAGAAGGGTTAGGTGTAGGGTTGGTTTAGGGCCATAGAATATACAGTATAAAAAACATTATATCTATGGAGAGTTAATATACAGTATTTAAAATACTAACTTTAAATACTAAATTGCAACTTGTACATTCATCAGTACATCAGTTTAACCATATGCCAAAGGCAATAAGTAATATTATTTATGAAATTACTTATTAAGATGTCTGCAAGCAGACAAAAGCACTTCATGCCAGCTAATCAAATTTAATTTAATTGAATTAACTGCAATACATTTTCATTTAATAGCATTTAAAATGTAATTAAGTGTCCAGAAACATTACATTCAATTCAATATGCTAAAGTGTACTTCTTTTTCTCAAGGCTCATCATACTTGAAACTTTAACAAAATATCCTTTTCTGTACCTCAAAAATGCATGGTGAATCACTGGCTGTCACGTTCAGCTGCAGATGTGCTTGGTTGATTACTATTATTTAAATAATATACACATATATATATATATATATATATATATGCATATATATTTTTTTAATGCCACTTGGTTCGATAATGTGTTGTATAATGCATACATATTCAGTGGTATGACAGACACATATGCATGGAGGTTAAAGTGAGCTCGTGTGTGTGTGTGTGTGTGTGTGTGTGTGTGTGTACACAGGTGTTAGGTAAACAAAATCAGAAAGTACCACTATAACACCAGACTATACCCAGGCTGTCACTGGTGCTTAAATACACAAATAAACAGGTGCATGAAGCCCCTGCTCTAAGTCTATACCTGATTCATATTAGAGTATATGCTGACACCGTAAGAACAGCTTGGCATATGTTGAGAATGCAATAATGACAAAAACAGCTTGGTTGTGAAAAAGTAATACTGTAAATAGCTTGTTTCCCTGAGGACATTTCAGCCAACAGCAGCTGTGGGGCTATCAGAAAGAAAGAGGCAAGAGCAGTGTCAGATAAAGGGAAATCTATTCATAACTGAACATCTCACTTACTGTAGCGCAGAGATTTACGGGAGGAAAGGTACTGGACCAAAGGTAAATTGTTACATATAAATGAAAATGGTCAAATAAGTACTGTACAAGGTCCCAATAAAAATGATGTACATCTTGAAAGCTCTAAGAGGAATTACAGTCAGTGCTATGCTAGGTAAAGTTGTTCTAATTGGTTGCAAGGGTGTTGCTAGGCAGTTGTTAAGGTGTTCTGATTGATAATTGTGTAGAAACAACTTTAACTCAGAAATTGCTAGTAAATTTCACAAATAATTACAAAGGATCAGCAAGTATCCAGCTAACAGGGAACATTCTCAAAACTTAACTCATAACTCAAATTTATGAAACAAACGTTCTTCCATTTGTTCAGAGTTATTGGTTACACTTTACCTCCATAGTCCACCATTCTACTCACTATAAGTATCTTTGCAACTACATGTTTTTAAATGTTACCAGTTTCAGAACATCTTGATAAAGAAGTAATATTCATAAGTAGCATTCCCATAATGTTTGCAGAAATATAAAATGGAGAGTTCTCATGTTTGCATTACCAAAAAAATAAAAATAATAATAAATAAATAAATATATATAAGAAGAAGAATTCAGTGAAAAAGGCACATACTCTGTGATACATTACTCTGTGATACATACTATGCGAGTTCAGCCACTTACAGTCTGGCATGTTTTAATGGAAGCCTATTTTTTTTTTTTAAATCCTGAGTTCAGAGATTTTGAAGGGGAAAAAAAAATCTGACACAAGTTTTTGCAATAACAATATGTTGGTTGGGTCAAGAACACAATGAAGCATCATTAATATATATATATATATATATATAAAGATCCAGATCAGGTTTATTCAGTTACAGCAGCGGCACATTTCTGTCTTATTATAGCCATTCTCAGTCTAGAATGTATGGAAGCACACAGGTGGGCTTGTTGAGCTGAGCTGTGATTAACTCACCGCACTTCTCCAGGGTCCTCTGTAACCAACACGTCCGTCTTACAGCTGGCTATAGGGTTGATTGACAGCTCCACCGGAGGAACCACAAAGCTCTTGCTGACTGGCAGCCAAAGGCCTTGACCCAGACTGTAGGATGACCTGCAGGGTGAGGGACACGAGAGCGTAACGTGTCAGCTGAATTCCAATGACCCTGTGGAACATGCTGCTTATTACAAGAAAGCCACACTGACCGAGAGAGGAGAAGATCTGTTCTCCACAGCATGCACAAATAAAGACCATCAAACTAGACAGTAGTTGTGTGCTAATGACATATCCAAAGGTCTTTAATGAAATAAAAAAAGACATTGAAAATATACACCACAAGTCTGAAGAAACGATCCAATAAAGAAAACGTCAAAGGGTTTGTAGAATGGAAAATAGGATTTGTCACATTCTTCAAAATTAAAGACTTCAGTGTAGGCATATTCTTCAAAATTAAAGACTTCAGTGTAGGCATACTCTTCATTTCAGAAACTGTTGGCAAATCCACGACCTGTAAAATACCATTACGACTCATTTGGCATGCGAAGAGTTTTAGCCAATCATACCACAAATCTTTTACATACAGATGTCTTAAAGACACAGTAAGGGTCAAAGAGCAGGTGGCAGTGCTATTCTGGTTTTGATTTTGTTAATTAAAATAAAGCTGAAATTAAATAAAATGTTATTATTATTATTATTATTATTATTATGATCATTATTATTATTAGCATTATATATATATAAAACTAATAGAAACAAAATTAATAAAACTGAAACTATTATTTGAAACTAAATAATAATACTAATAATACTAATACTAATACTACTACTACTACTAATAGTAATAATAATAATAATAATAATAATAACTCTTTATTTGTAATGCAGATTAATGGATATGATTGCATTGTCTAGAATCTTAATTTCAATTAATCTAAAAATAGTTTGTCTCATTATTTACTCATCCAAATAAAGTTAATAAACAAACAAACATACAATGTAGGAAGAGACTGCAGACTACCATGATGTTTGTCTATTACTGAAGATTTTAAAAAGCATTATGATTCTTTAAATATCTTGCTTAAAAAAAAATCACATATGTGACATGCACAGTATATTAACTATGACTGACTAATTCATTATTTGTTTATTAGCACCATCATTATTTTGTTAAGGTAACTGAAGAGCTGAAATAATTAAGCTAATATAATATTAATTTAGCCAGTGAATTCATATTCTGTGAATTAAATTTGTATGATAACATGCGGCTCCACCGCACTAAAGCTCAGGTCTGAGTCTGGCCGGTCGCTGACCTTGGATATAGACAAGCACATCTGAATTACTCTGGATCAATGCGTACTTCCACTCATAAATAAGACAGCGATAGCCCAGGCCTTGCTCCGGCCCATCAATCGACACTTCGGAGGGCATCGATTGCTTTCCTCAGTCCACTATCAGTCAACTGCTGCCAGCTGAACTAAATGGCTTGAGTCGTCAGGTGGTTAAGAGTGATGACAGCTTGGGTGAGTAAGAAGAGAGTGAATGGATGATATACATTTCATTTATTTTTGCCTTAGCATTTAGAACCAAAGGGAAAAAAAAATAAAATCTGCTTCAGGCTTGTAGTCTGAAAATGAGGAAAATAATGGACTATATCTTTGTTTTGTGTTTAATTAACGAGAGACAGAGTTTAATAGGGAGAATCAAAGTGAGATATTGTCATCACATCAGCTAATTGTCCAGTGTAAAATACATAATTTGTTTTAGTTAAAATGGCTGAAACTATATGGGTGTCACGGGTTGCTATTGTGAGGAGCACAGAGCGAGGAACGAAGAGACCAGGAGTACAAAACAAAGGAGTTTAATTGTCGTTTTCAGGGACTCACACGTAGCACAAGGAGTTGACATAAACAATTCCAGACAAAGAGACTCTGAACAGGCTAGAACTAAATAGGGCAGATAACAAGGGGCAGACAGGTGAGGAGGATGACTAATAATGAGACACCTGGAACAAATCAAACTACATTGGGACAGGAACAGGAAGGACCAAATAATGAAAACAGGAACTCAACAGGAACATACACGTGACAATGGGTGGGCTGCATGACAAAATCCCAAAATATTTCATGGTATGAGTAATTTTATATCACAGTAACGGTATACAGTATATCACA